GCTCACAACTGGCTCAAGGAGGTCACCAGCTGGGCCAACACCCTCTGGCCTGTGGCTTTACAAACGCTCCCGCACCCACCAAAACGCCAACGTTTCCCAATAATAAATGCAAAATCTGTTACATTCTCGTTAAAACGAAATAACTAAAATATGCTTTCCTTGTTAAGTGCAAAATTGCCACCAACCCCGCGCACAAGCATCTCCGGATCTGGCCACGCCCTGGCCTGCCCCACGTGGAGGCTGCAAGTTCGAAGGATCCCACGCGCCGGGCAGTGCCCAAAGCCCAGGGCCCAGGTGGGCACCCAGCACTTGCACGCTGAAGCCCCTGCTCCGGCCTGCTGGCGATAGCTGAAGGTGCAGAAGAGGAACAGGCCTGGACCCTGGCACGCAGGACGGCTCGGGGCCGCCGACAGCCACCCAGTCTCGCCCGGTGAGGCGCTTACAGGGCCCAGCGGCTGGCGCCCGCGAGACCTCCCGCGCCCCGGCGCCCTCGGCACTCACGCGAGTGCTCCAGCTCGCGCGCCGCCTTGGCCGCGCGCTCCAGCCCTGTCGGGTCGAAGTTGCTCCATTTGTCCTTGGGCGCCTGCCGGTCTCCCGCACCGCGTTCACCGCCGCCCTCGGCCCCAGGCTGTACAGGCGGCAAGGACAGCGGTGGTCCCGCGCCTTCGCCCTTGGGGCCCTTGTTGATGCCGAAGAGCCAGGACATGACCCGAGAGCGCTGCACGATACCGGGACCCCGGTGGACTGTGACTCCCACAACTCAGAGCAGCCGCCACGCGCCGCGGGCCGGCGGCAGGGCCAGTGCGCAAGCGCGACACACACCCCTTCCTCCCGACAGCGGAAGTGCGCGAGGTCGCGCGGCACGCAGCCCTCGGACTGGGAGAAAAGGCCGTGACGCCACCGGGAGGGCGTGGCACAGGATAAGGATACCAAGCTTGGACAAATTTGTCGGAACTGGTGGGCGCGCACGGTAGCACTGTCAGTTCGCAGCAACCGCGGAGTTTCGGCCGTTGTGGGCGCTGGAGAAGCCCCAGCCTGGGAGAGACCCCCCCTGGACAGATATGGACGCCAGGAGCTCTGGGGACGCGGCTACCAGGGCAGGGGAGCGTGCGCCTGGCCGCGACCTCAGGGGACGAGGGAAGGGACCCGTGCTGCGAACCCTCCGCTCGCCCCCTCGGTGACCCGCAGCCTTCTGGCCCGGAGCGGCCCTGGAGTCTGGGCCCCACCGGGGCGAGCGGGAGCCCTGCAGGCATGAGGGTGCGCTGAAGATCTCCACACGCGGCGCACGCAGGAAGCCCTTAATAAGTTGACACTAGTGGATCCCAGGAAAGGCTTCGTCTTTCAGATGAAGGGCGGGCCTGGAGAGCAGTCCTCCGCCGGCCCCCTAGATGTTTCCGAAACCGCAGTGGTCTCTGGTTGTATGACTATTAGAATATCCCATCCACATGTTTGATACTTAAAATCTTATTCCATTTAGGAGGACAGACATACCCTTCCTAAAGACACTAAACAGAGAATCATGAGTGTGCTTTCTACCTGAAGCATTTCCATTTAACTGACAAATGTGAGGTGCTGCTTACGCTCTGCTATTTTGTTTGTGGGATCCCTTCTGACCTCCCCAACAGCTTCTCTAACAGGAGTCCTCCAGCATTAAAGACCTAGAGAGACCGCAGAGGTTAAAGATGCACGTTGACAGGCTGGAGGCCAGGAGAGGAGAGCCTGTGTGACACAGAACTCAAGAACCTTATTGAGCATTTGATCCAAACAGAGGGTGTGCAGCCCTCCCTGGGAGCACAGGCTAGCAGGAGTTGGGGCAGGATTCTCAAAGTGAATCCCACCTAATCAGTGGGGAAGAGGTCTGCTCCAAGAATGTGTGCAGCTAAAATGGTTTCTGAGTCCCCTACCCCTGACCAGATCTCAGAGTTGCACTGCAACCTGTTGCCCCCAGCAACCCAGCCCTGGGGCTCCCAGCACCAAGGCTGCAGCTGCCAGCTGCCTGTTGACTTCCAAGGAGAGTGCTGGTGCAAAGCCTCTCCCCTTAAACCTAAAGCCCCTTTTGTGACAAGCACAGGTTTGCTGCTGACCATCAGTATCATTCTGCAGCTTTGTCCTGTTGGGCAGTGGTCTAGTTTCCAGAAGTGAGGAGCCAATCTCTCTCCTCAGCCAGCTGGTCCCTTCCTGCTCCTCTTCTCCTTCCATTTCCAAAAGGACTCACTGGTTCCAGACTTGCTCATGGCACCACAGTCCACCTGCAGGCCTGCCTCCACCACTGCTGGCATGTGCACTCCCCTCCTGTTCCTAATCCCCCACACACAGGCCCAAGCTCAGCCAAAAGAAAGGCTGCCCACGGGACTGGGGATACAGCTCAGTTGGTAGAGTGCTTGCCTTGCATGCACAAGGCCCTGAGTTCGATCCCCAGCACCAAAAACCAAACAAACAAACAAGAAAAGCTGCCCAGCCTGGCCAAGGTTCTAGGGTGGGGCCTTGGGCTACTGATTCCCACCCTAACCCACCATAGTAGGGTTCCTGTGACCTGCCAGCCCCTGGTGGCTTCTCCCCAGGTATGGTGGTTCATGAGAGAAAATAAGAGTAGTGGTAGCAGGCCCAGGACTATAGTGATTTAGGGCTGAGCCCAAACCTCACAGGCCCCTCTGGGCTTCCCCACAGTTGTATAGCTCATCTTCCTGCTCAGGGTTTATGTGTAGGTTAGCCATTGCCTGCTTATGGTGACCCCATGCACTGTCCTCTGCCCCAAAGCAGCCCCTGCCCCCAGCTGGAAACTCAAGAGTCTCCAGCACTGTCCCTATAGGGCCCTGAAGTGAAACCCATTAACTGGTGTACATACTTCCTGGCCATATGTATCATGGGTGGCCTTAGTGCTGGCCTTCAGCTGCCCTGCCCTGCCCAAACCTATGGCCTCCAAAGTGCCTTTGTGTCCCTGGACACTCTAGAAGGGGCTGTAAGGGGACTCTCTCAAGAGTTGCCTGTGAGGAGCCACCTGCCATGCCCACGACCTGTGGATCATGAGAGGCACCAGTTCAGGCCACAGATGCTCAATAAGGTTCTTCTCAGAAAACACACACACGTGTAGGGTCCAGAAACCACCGGCTCAACCCTGGCTGCCTGGGATTCACTAGGGTAGACAAAAGTGGGTTTAGTGGAGGCATGGCTTTGCCAGCAGTGGGTGCCCACAGTTGGGGGACTGGGCAGTTGGCAATGGGCCTGCAGAACTACTGGGCCCTCTGTCCTCTTGAGTTCCAGCAGTCTGCCCCTATCCAAACTGGATCCTGGGCCACAAAAGCAAGTGCCAGAGGGCTGTAGAAGTCCAGTTGATCTGTATCCAAGCACTGGAGTCTGGCCCCAGCTCCTCTCCAGATGCACCATGATCCTGCACACTGGACCTCTCACACTGCCCTGACCCGGGCTCGAGTATTGTGGCAGGAGCAAAGCATTCTACGGAGACAGCAGGCTCAGCATACAAATGATTTACTGTATTTTGGTATCTGGGTCATTAGTGGGGAAGAGAAGCAAGGTGAGCCTGGGCAGGTGATTCTGAGAAGAGGCCCTGACCAGTGGGGGCTACAGAAGCAGCCAGGTCCTCCCTATCCTTGGTGAATTTTCCAGAGCTCCAGGATAGTAGAAGGTGACAGGAGGTAGCCCATGACCCTCTGGGGTCAGATAGTGTTGCAAAGTATCTAAGGTGAACTCACCCAGAGCAACATTGTTCCCCCTCAAGGAGCTCTAGGGCCCCAAACAGGGGAGGCCCCCTGTGAGTGCTGGCCTTGGAGCCTGGCCAAGGCAGGAGTGGAGAGCCCTTGTCCCCACCGTCCTGAGCACCAGGTTCTGGGTCTATGCCTCCAGAAAAGTGCTTTCTTCATCCCAGGGGCTGCTAGCTGGGCCCACCTGGGGTCCTGGGCAGGGAGGCAGGGCCAGTGTGCCCAGTAGGCACTGCCTTCCAAGCTCAAGGGTCCTGGCAAAGACCATTGGGCCACACCATCAGCCTCCCAGTGCCCTCCAGTCCTTTCCTTCTTCAAGAGGCCTTTGGAGACATGCCTATGCCCGCTGCTCCTCCCCTTGCCCCACCCAATTTCTATCCTTGTGCAAGACCTCAGTGGCCTCGGGCACTTCCTCCAACTGTGCATGCTTGGCCTTTCACACCAGTTGGAGCCCAGGCCCCTGCCTCCCCTCCAGGGCCCAGGGCCAGTCCTGGGTCTGATGTTCTCAACTCGCCCTCAGACGCCCTCCCCACCTCTTTACCAAATGTTGGCAAAGGCCGAGAGTCAGAGGAGGCTGCGAGGAGAGAACTAGGGGGTAAAAGGCAAGGCTGGCACTTCCTCCCACCGGCTCCGAACCCTTCCGGGCGGGCGGCTCACCCGCCACGGCCCACTGCGACCCGGGGTGCTGGGCGCGGGGCTCGGCTGCGCTCACCCACCGGCGTGCAGGCCTTGGCGGACAGCGCCCTCTCGTGGCCCGAGCGAAAGGCAGCTGTCACCGTCACCAGGTAGGCGGTGCCGGGCGTCAGGCCCTGCAGCGTGGTGCTGTTTCGGCCAGCGGGCACGTCCACGCGTTGTGCAGCGCCGCCACTCAGTGGCCCGAGCTGCACATGGTAGCCGAGCGCGGCAACTGGGCCCAGTGCTGGGGCCCAGCTCACGCGGAGGCTGTGCGGCCTGGCATGCGAGATGACGATGCGCTCTGGACCGGCCTCGTCTGCGGGGGTGAGGGGTGGGGGTCAAGCGGAGGGGCGTTCCACCCCAAGAACCCCTCCCCACGGCGTATTCCCACTCCGCGCCTCACCTGGCAGGGTGCGCACTCGCAAGTGCTGAGGCTTCAGGAGGTGCACGTTGGACTCGGGCAGCAACACCACATCATATTCTGAGTCAGGGTCGAGGCCGGCCCAGGTCCAGTCGGTGGCATTCCCAGGCAGCTGCTGGCGTCTTGTGGCCCCCGGGCCGGCACTGGGCACCAGTTCCAGCACGTAGTAGCCGGAGTCGGAGGTCAGTAGGGGCGGCCAGGCCAGGCGGAAGCTGTTGGACGTCACCTCGGAGGCGTAGAGCTGCTGTGGCTGCATTGCATCTGTGGAAGGTATGCGAGGTCAGGGGAGAAGATACCTCGAAGGCTGGTTGAGCTCTGGAGGATCCAGAGAATAACCTGTAGGTCACTGGAGTGGTGAGCAGGTGAATGAGGCTGGGGAAGCACATTCAGATTCTGACCTTCCTCTCCCGATGCCTGGGTGTTGGGGCCTGCCAATCTTCCCCCTCAGACTCTGCCCCCAGCCCCAGGAGCCACCACCCCACTCCCTGATTCTGAAGGCAGCCTTTTCTCCTTTCCTCTCCAGGCTCAGCTGCCAAGGGCCACTAGGGGTCAGATGTCCCTGGGGAAGACTTTGGGGGAGGACCCTCTACCCCTTCCCAGTCCACAGACCCACACCTTCCTGCTCAGGGTAGGTGAGTAACCCAAAGGCAGAGATTTGGTAAAAATCCTGGGGTGGTGGCACTTTTCTGTGGCTACAGCAAGCCTAACCAGCCATCAGGCCCCTCATCTCCAGCCCTTCCCCCTTTGAGGCTTGGCTGAGGGGGTGATCCAGGAAAAGGCCCCTGGATGCTGCCCCACCCTGCGGCAGACTTCCTGGTCTGGCTTCATCCCCGGCTGTTCTCACAACACACTTGCTGTACAAACCAACACAGGTCCTTCCGTGGCTGTCCTCACCCAGAACAGGTAGGGCTTGAGCTCTGGGAGGCAGACCAGCCCTTCCAGGTTATTCCCTCTTGGATGGGGTAGGCCTGGTGATCCAGTGGGCCTGGACATGCACAATGCACATGCTGCCACTGGTGTCCTCAGCCCAAGGACCTCCTTCCCTACCCTTTCCACTTATCCCCCACATCCTACCAGAGGTAGCCCCCAGTCCCCTGGAGATCACCTGGAGGTGACCACTAAGGTTTGCTCCCGTCTCTCCACAGCCCAGGGGTCTGAGCATATGAGGGCACCTGGTTGGTTTGTGTTCCTGAAGGTGCATGGAGAAACGAAGAGTCATCTGCCTCCCATTCCCACCTTGGGGCACCAAGCACTTGAGTTCTGAGGGCTCTCCTCCCACCTACCAAGAATGGAGCCCCGCAGCTCTTGGGCAATGATGTGCAGATCATCCACATCAACGAAGTGCAGATGCTTCTGAGCAGGGGCTGAGGCAGCTGCAGACAGCTCTAGCAGGTTGCCACGGCCCGTGCTGACAATGAAGACTGTGACGCCCTGGTCCTTGAGCTCCTGCATTGGGGGGCCCACAGGGTCGCTGGAGGCACCATCTGTCACCCACACCAGTACCTTGGGCACCCCTGGCCGGGCACCCATTGCCTCAGCAAACAGCTGCTCCCGGGCATAGGCCAGTGCCAGGCCAGTGTTGGTGTCGCCCATTCGCTGGGCTGCAGCACGGATGGCGTCCTGGACAGCCTGGCTTGAGTTGTGTTGGTTGAAGGGGAACTCGGTGTGTGGCCTGCTACCCACATGCACCAGGCTGGCACGCAGGGCCCCAGGGCCCAGGGGCAGCAGTGCCACCAGCTGCCCCACAAACTCCCGTACCCGGGAGAACTCGTAGTGTGATACGCTGGCGGAGCTGTCCAACAGGAGCAACAGGTCCCCCTGGGGGGCCGATGCCAAGGGACCTGGGGAAAGACGAGGGTCAACCCCAAATGGTGGCCCCAGATCATCCCACACCCAGAGCAGAGATCCCTGAGGCCCGGGCTTTCCTTGAGCATGTGCTCACCCTTGCCCTGAGGTCCAAAGGGTTGTACCTCAGGGGAGAGGGTCTCTGGACCAAGCAGGAGGCTCACACTCTCAGTGCATTCCAGATCTCTACACAGGCCATGTGACCTAATGCACCCTGGGCTGGCGCAGGTCCCCGTGCAGAGGAGTGCTAACCCTCCAAGACCCTACATTCCCTTCTCAGCAGACATCCAATGTAGGTGGAGCCAAAAGCCGGGGCGTAGGCCTCCCTGAAGGTCTGAGTCTGGGGTCCACTCCCTCAGGCTGGAATTCAGCCACACAGCTCAAGCGCCAGGTAAGGCATTCTTTGGGCATGCACAAGGCAGCAGGGGAGGGTCGGGAGCACAGCAGGGATGGGGAGGCAGAGCTCTGAACACAGCCCCCCCCCCAGCCCAGATGGCCAGGCTGGAATCGTGACCCCACTTACAGATGACATCACCCCTAGCCTGGCCCCCATCCTTAGCTCCATCTGGACCCAGAAAACAGGATACACCCCCCAGCAGCCTGAGGGCCCGCCCAGCTCCTGGCAGGCCTCCCCTTCCTCCCGGCACCCTGCGGGGTGGGTGTGCACGTGGGCCCCTCCACCACTAAGCCACGGGTGGGGGGAGTGGGGCGGGAGGGGGTAGGAGGGTTCAAGGTGTCCTAGGCCTGGGGTTTCCCCAATGCGGTCGGGCGATTCCAACCTCCTACCACCTCTACCGAGGGCCCTTCGGAAGGTAGGGAAACTGAGGCGGGACGGCCTCTCCCACAGACTTCTCCCCTCCGGGTCCGGCCCGTGGACCTGCCGGCGGGGCATGGCAGACGCCGGCCTCGCGGCTCAGTCGTGCCGCCTGGAGCACCTGGGCGCGCCCCCCACAGGTGGCTGGGGTGCTGGCTCGCTCCCAGCTCAGCTCCCGAAGCCGCCAGCCCACCCGCCTCGCAGCCAAGCGTGGGCAGCGGGAACGAGGGGTCGTCAAGAGTCAGAGCCCTGGCCCCGCCGCACTCACCGCGCTCCGCGCCGCTCCGCGCCAGCGCCAGCCGCAGGCTCAGGGCCAGGCTGAGCGCCGTCCAGGGGAGCATCGCGCGCGGTGGGATGGGGCGCTCGGCCGCAGCTTGTTGCTGGCTTGCTCCGGGACAGCGGGGCGCGGGCCTGAGAGGGCCCGCCCCCGGGAGGCCACACCCACGACCACGCCCACGCCGCGGGCGCACGCACTCACCCATGCGCGCACCCCAGAAACGACCTGGGCGGACTTGGCAGGGGAGCACTCACGAGCCACCTGGACAAGAGGGGACACGCAGCACCAACCCAGGCACCACCGAGGCACGCACTTGTGGGCATGCACACACAGGCTCTCCCCTCTCCCGGCTGTAAGGCTGTGGGGTCGCCCGCACTCCAAACCCTTTGCCTGTGATTCCCAAGTGTTGGGGGCCCCTGAAGCCAAACCCCAGGTCCTGGCTGCACCTTGGCAACAAGGCTGAGGGATAGGTGTCCCTAAGGACTAATCAACAGGAACTGGAAGGGCCTTAGAGTGGGGACAGGAGCCTGAAGACAAGACACAGGAACAGGAGACAGTTGGTCCAGGCCTTGTCCTGCTCCGTGCCCATAATGGCCCTACTGCTGGCCTCATACACTCTACCCAAGGAAGGGCCCGAGGCCACAGATATAAGACCCTAGCAGGACTGGAGGGGCCCACTAGACAGAGCTGAGCCCTGTAATCTTTTTTTTTTTTTTTAATATTTTGTAGATAAAATGCCTTCATTTTATTTATTTATTTGTTTGTTTATTTATTTATTTATATGTGGTACTAAGGATTGAACCCAGTGCCTCACACATGCTAGGCAAGCGCGCTACCACTGAGCCCCAGCCCCAGCCCCTGGGTTCTGTAATCTTGACTAGGCCCAGAAAGGGGATGCAGTGTTCCCTGGGAACACTGGGCCTCCTCCCCAGTGCAGGAGCCCCGCTGCAGCCCTCCTAAGATCCCTTCCTGTGGGGTAACCATGGAGTTGAGTTTGGGGACACACATGTGGCAGGGGTATGTCTGCCAGGATGTCCCTCCCTTCTCACCCTCTGCAGGAGGATGCTGGTGGGGAAGACGGATGGGACTTAAAATGGTTTTCCTTCCTCCCTTTCTGGCAGGTGAGACTCAGCGGCGGGACTAGGAGGATGGCCTGAGCTGGGCTTTGCCTAAAAAAGGAAGCGCGCAGCTGAGCCCCAGGAGCTGGCGGCAGGAACAAGTGAGAACTGTGTCCCTGCCGCCATCCCCCACCCCCTTGCCGGGAATCTTGGCAGTGGGTGTTGGCTCTGCTCCACAGACCTCAGGCCTCAGCACCGACCAGAAGCTGCTTGGTGCGTGCTTCCGTGGGGGGAGCAGTGGATTTGGGCTCACCCAGTGGAGTAAGCCTCCCAGGGGGTCTCACATGGCCCCCAGCCCCTAGCACACAGGGCTGCCCTGGAGACGGGCACTGAGCAGAGACCAAACAAGGTGGCAGCACCGCCGACTGCTGTGAGGCACGCCCAGGTAGACAGTTCATCCTCAAGCTCTCCTGCCAGGGAGCTGGGCCACAGTGGATCCGCCCTGTGGGGAGGCAGCTGCTAACAGCGGCCCAGGCCCACAGTCACACCTCAGCCTGCCTGGCTGAGCTGACGGGAAGTTTCCGTCCCTTCTGGAAAATTGAGCGGGTCTTCTTGCTGTGACTCAGGCCTCAAGGAAGCAGCGCCCTCCTCCAGCCTGACATCAGAAGGAGAGGGGCACAGGAGGCCCAGCCTCCACTGAGTCCTGTCTGCCCAGCCTCTACCCAGTCACTGCTGCTGCCCCACCCCCTGGGGACCCTCCCCATCAGCCCTACTCTCCTACTCAATCCAAGCAAGCCTTATTCCTGTGCCCTGTCCCCCAGTGCTCTCCCTACCTCCAGAGGAAAACTGTGGACAGATGGGATCCCAGAGGGTGAGGGAGTTAGCCTGAGTTGTGGTGGTCAGGGCCAGGCCTGGGCTTTAGGCAGACACCAGAGGAAGCACAAATAGAATGATCCAGAAGCCTCTTCTCTGAAGGGAGCAGGGCCCAGTTGGTAAAGGGGGCAGAGACATAGACAAAGGCAAGGACTGGCCAGGCCAAACAGCAGGGCCCATCCCCCAGCCCTCCACCTTCCCAGGTGCAGTCTCTGCCTGGGCCTGGCTTCCTGGGGACCCAGAGGAAGATGCAGCAGGTGAGGCTAAGAGCACTTTGCTCCCACAACCTTGGCCCAGGCGCGGGGAGTTGCTGTGTCTCACTTCCCAGAGCTGGCCCAGCTGCTTATCTGCAAGCAGGTGGGGGGTTTCCCTGAACTGAGGGACACTGCTCTCAGTAGGGCATTGCCCCTGCCCCCACTGAGGTCCTGGAGAAAGCTCCCTCCTCCACACAATCCAGGCTTCTGCAGAGAAGAAGGGCCCTTTGTCCCCAGCTCACTGTAGTCATGTTCAACCCCAGAGAAAAGGGCATCTCCTGGGGCCTCTGACCCCACCCCTGACCCCAGCTGAGGGCAGAGTGGCCTGGGCCCCCACCCCATTGCTGTGAGCTGCTGTTTGTCAGTTGTTTGTATCTACATGCAAACCCACGCACACATCCACGGGGGACACAAAAACAGGAAGTGGCAGGAGCAGCTGCATGGGCCCTGGCCAGGGGAGTGGGGTGAGGCTGTGTCCGGTGACCCTGCCTCATCCAGGCAAGCAGTGGGTAGGGGAAGGGGCAGCCAAGAGCAGCAGGGCCCTACAGCTCCTTCCCACTGCCCCCCCTTCCTCTAGACTTGATTCTCGTCCGCCTAGGGTTAGGATCATGCCAGGCAGGGCCCAAGACCAGTCCTGGGAGCTGGGGGTGCCTGTCTCACCCCCAGAGCCCAGAGCTGACACCTCTCCCAGTCCCTGCAGTGAAGGTAGCAGGGAAGAGGCATGGAAGGGTGAGTGCCAGGCAGTGTTCCTCAAACCAGCTTCTGCACTGGGGACACCAGCTACCAGGCAGAGCCCCTCCTCCCAGTACCACCAGACTAGGCAGGCGATGCTGTGCTAGCAGGGACAGGACAGCTTGTTCTCCCTGTAGAGGATGGGGCTGTGTGAGAGCAGAGAGTCAGCAGGGACCTGAGGCAGAGCTGCACAAAGGAAGAGCCTTAAAGGCAGAGGGGGACAGTGAGTGCCAGGGCCTGGGTGGGGGTGGGCATGCCTGCCAGTAAGGGGACATGGGCTGGCGGACAGCAAGGGCAGAGCCCGTGTAGGGCCTTCAGGCAGCAGGGAGGTGATGGGACTCCAAGTGCATGGTGAAGGCAGTGCCAAGGAAGGGCAGAGGGCTGATCCCAGGCCCCGAGGGAGATACTGGGTAAGCCGCCATCAGAGGTAGGGCAGGGACTCAGTGAGAGTCTGGATTCGGGTGTCCAGAATGTGCCACCAAACAATAATGTGCCTTTCTGAGGTGGGCCACCCCAGCTTTGGTCCTCTTGGCTGGCATGCTCTTCTGTAGGTGATTGCCATGTCCTGCTCCATCCTCAGGTAGGGTCCAGGCAG